TGTTCGGCTGAGTTCTTTATCTCTTCATTTGATGTTCTAGGGTTTCAGGATTGTTGATTCTCTGTTTGGCTTAGTTTTTCGGATCTTTGTTGTGGAGGGGCGGCATGGTGTTTCTGCCTAGAGCGCCATCTTCAAAATTTTAGATTTTTAATGCATTTTTAACCTTCATTTTCTAGGATCAGTTCGACAGCTTAGACAAGCATACACAATGGGGAATTGACTTCTTGGAAAGATATGCCAAATTCGTTAAAGAGAGGATAGAAATTGAACAGAACTATGCGAAACAGTTGAGGTAAGTTAAGTTTTTTTCAATTCTCAAAAATGAAATTACACGTTTAAACAGTTGAATATTAATTTGTAGCTAAATATGGTATTCCAGAGGTTAAACTGTGTGTTTTTCATCAGAATTAGATTGAATTAGGTAACAAGTCTGTTTTAATTAAGTCATTTCCTAGTACCACAGAGAATATTTGCTAGCTAGACCATGAGTAGCTTTCATTTTAGAAAGATACTTAAAATACTAAAATCAGAAAACAAAATGTCAAGAAAAAGAAATACATGAATATTACTTCTGTGTTTCACACTTTTATTCTACTGTAACTTTTTGCTTTAGTAATCTTTCCAAAGCATTAGCAATTTCTTCAGAGTTTCTAAGACTTGGAAATTGTGTGCTGAGCTGAGTTTTACTTCTGTTAATAATCAGTTATATATTAATGAAAGAGATTTTTGAATATGAGTTAGAAGATAGAAGTTTTAAATGGAGAATTTCAGTCTTAAAATTAATGAAATTAATCTTAAGATTTTGTTCAAGCAGCAAAATCATTATTAAATTACAATTTGACAAGTACTGTTTTGCTGGAACTTAGTGAAAATGGTACCTGAGCTCTGAAGACTAGTCACCAATGTTAGATTCTAGTTATATTATATTGCAAGTGACAGAAAATCCAACTTAAACAGGCACACAAGACTAAAAAGTCTAGGCATGTTTTGATTCAGGGGTCGAATAATGTCTTCAGGCTCCATTTCTTGGCTTTGCTTCCTCTTGCTGCCTTTATTCTCAGGTTCCATTCAGTACCATCCTTTTTACCCCCTTAGCTTTAGATTTCATATCTTTATAGTCCTCAATCCTGGAGAAGGATGTCTTTTCTGTTAGTAAGTTTGAGGGAACAGGGAGAAAAAGAAGGGGAGAGAAGGAAGTAGAAGAAGGGAGAGGAGGGAAGGGAAGGAGGGGAGAGTGCAAGTCTATACCATCTTCTTTCTTCAGAAATCCCAGCAGATGCCTCCTTTTGTCATACTGACCCTGGGTAGATTATGTGCTTACTGAAATGGGAATATATGGATTGACTTACAGATAATGATGGGGAAGGGTAGTCATCCAAAAGAAATTTAAGGCAGTGTTCCCAGAAGGAAGGGGGAATATTTGAGTGACAAACCATAAATGTCCACATATCCAGCATACAGTAGCCCATGGTTAAACCAACTGACTGGGTGTAGGGAGGGAATAGACTAGTATGATGACAGATTACTTGGAATATTTTTATAATGATATACTATTATTGTGACATTTACTGAAATAATAGCAGTTTGCTTATTTCCTAACCCATTTGCCTCCTCTGGGTTTTTTAAACAAGGCATTTTCCATATAAGAATATGAACAAGGAACTTATTAGTATATTAATAATAATAGCTATGATATTTTACCTGTCCAAAAATTATCATCTGAGAACCTTACTCCTCTAGAATTTAGAAACATTAAAAGGGCTTCTGAGAAGTTAAAATAGCAGTCACAAAATGTACTCACATCTGAACAGTAAAAACTTCCCCTCATTTACTATTTAGTCATTTAATTTTTGATTTGATCCTGATTCCAGCACATTAAATTCTCTGGTTTCCAAGTTGTCCGATAGAAATGAAGTGCTATAGACAATACAGTGATGACAGTGTGAAATGACAATAAGGGAAAGCTTTAAAAATTACAAAATGCAGATTAATGTAGGAATGAATAGTGCCATCTACTTTTGTGCACCTTAGGATGGCACTGTATTACAGCAGAATAAAAAGAATGGATATAGGGAAGGATGAACCTGGATCTTTAGGAAAAGAGTTAACCAGATTATTTCAAGGAGACGGGGAATTTGGTGGTGTCTATCAAAATTTAAAATGTATCCTTTAATCTAGCATTTTCATTTCTAGACTCTCCTGCAGAAAAACACAAATGTGCAAAGATGTGTGCACAAAACTGTCCATTGCAGGGGGAAGACGTTTCCAGCCTTAAAGTGCCTGTCAGGCGGGGAATGATTTAAAAAATGAGGTCTATCTACCAGCATATTTGAACTTAAAAAGCTATTTGATCCATGAGTGTAAAAGGCAAGTTGCAGAACTGAATGTGTACAGTAAGATCTCCTTAGTACTTTTTGAGCTGTGTGTATGTTATGTACAAATTTTGTATGTACTTAGGACAAGGTCTAGGAAGATAACACTGAAAATTGTTTACAGTGGTTACCTCTGGGGAGTGGGGGTAAGAGGGTGGGAAGGGAAGGAACTTACTTTTTACTACATATACTTTTGAATTGCTGAAGTCTTTTCTCTGATTGTGTATTACTTTTATAATTTAAAACACTTGTTCTTAAGCAGAAAATATATTTCAGAAGAGAATCTTGTCACAAATTATAAAGTAAAAATTGATAATTCATAAGGTAAAACTTCATCAGTCTGGACTATTTCCCTGTCTAGAATAACTCAGGCCTCAAGGGTTTCCAGATGGCCAAGGTTTTATTACAGTAACAGGACTCAATTCATCAAATGGCAGACTTGTTTGCCTTTTTGTCTTTTCTGTGACTGACAATAACCATTGTAATTTTCACTTATTTGTAGAAAAGAGGATTTGAACACCACTTTATTGAAGTAAGGGTGGGTTGTAGTTGTTAGGTGCCGTTGAGTTGATTCCGACTAATACATAGTGACCCTATGGAACAGAGTAGAACTGCCCCGTAGGGTTTCCAAGGAGCAGCTGGTGGATTCAGATTGCTCTTAACCACTGCGCCAAGGGTGGCTAGAACCCACAGTTACATGATAGGAAAAAAATAGTTTTGCAGTGAGAAGTAGATTTCATTTATGTACAAATGCTCTAGATCAATTATTTGCATCTTTTTTCCTGTCCAAGCACAAAGGAATTTGGCACATTTCGATCCTAATAATGGCTGTCAATTGCAGTGATTCTCAACAAGGGCAAGATTATTGGAGGGTGTTGAGTATTTGGCTAAGAAAGAGTAGGTGGTAGGCATGGGTAATTTGAAACTACCTGCATGTGTAATTTGAAACTACCTGCTTCTCTTCCCTACATTGAGATTTGCTGCTGTGCATGAAGATTTAGTAAATGATTGAATTATCAGCCGCTGTTTATAGTATCTGTTTTGTCCAAAGGGGAGGGATTTGTCTTGTTTCCTCTTTTTTAATGGAAAAAATTCTTTTATTTAACTTGCTTCTATTTTTGCTACCACAGAGGCTAATTTCTTTCATAGTGTTGTGAGTCACCTTGTTTTCTTCCTAAATAATAACCACGTTTAGGTGTTAAACATTTACATTTTAAATAATGCCACAAGGTTAAGATTTCTCAGTTAGGTTTTGGTACTCCCAGTTTGTTTTCTTCTTCCTTCTCTTTCTTATATTCGTATGTTTTGATAGTTTTGGTTTGCCTTTATTTTGTATTGATTTTTTTATGTCAAGGATGGAATAAATAGAAAATAAACACAGTTGAATCATGTCCATTTTGATTGATGTTAAGTGGTGGCTTCAAATTAGTAGAATTTTTTTGTTTACAAAGATATAAAAAACTGAAATCAGTTTGTTCTTTTTAATACATTTGTACTTATTTTATTTGTATGGCAGAGTTTAACTGAAAATTCCAAGTAAAAAAAGAAGCCCCATATACAGTTGGTATATGTAATTTCTTTTTTTTTAGTAAAAATAGTTATGGTAATAAGTTCTATCACAGGGATATTACTGTATGAAATTTTGTGACCTCTTCCCATCCCATATGGTTTTCGATACAAATGTGGCAGTGTGGTGTACTGGGAGAAAAATAGACTGGAAGGCAGGAAGCCTACAAGGTACTCTGTCTTAGCCAGAGCAGAAATCTCTCTGAATTCCTTTTGATGAGAGACTATATTGTGTACACATTCTGTACCTATGCCAAGCCTGGCAACATAGCTGATACCTCTAGAGCTCAGTGAATATCAGTTGAATGAATAAATAAATAATCTGTGTTTCAGTTTAGTTTAGAATTTAGCATTTCTGACCATTTGCTGAACCTTTGATCAAGTACTAGTTTCTACCCATACTAGAGTTTGGTGTCACAAACACCACTGTGATGAGGATTTTGGTCTACTAAGAGCTGTCCCAAATATTTAGGGTAGGCTTACATATAGAATTATCCAAATAAAATCAGCCTTTATTTTCTACTTTTTCTTTACTTTCTCATGCCTCTTTTTTAGAATTTGCTGTGTTTGTACCTTTCTATTTAGTCTCAGGAGATAGGAGGAAGTCAATCTTTGTACTGACTTTCTGAAAGTGGAGATTGCATTTATTCTTTTGTCTGTCGTTGTTTAACTCTCAGACTGCTTTGGCCTCCTGTGAGTTTTTGATTAACTGCTTAATGTAGTAGACCCTAATGCTGACTTGGATACGAGCAGGAAGAACTATTGCCCATGTTTTGGGGTCTAGATTACCTTTCTTCATAGAATTGGATCCTGTGGGAACCCTTTCATTCCTCTCGGTCCCCAGTGGCTACTCAGCCTGCTCAGCCTGCTTGGGTACCTGCTGCCTGTATCAGATGATTTATTGGCTAAATAATTTTTGCCTCTTATTCTAGCACAAAGAGAAGGGATTTTTGTTTGTCTTGTTTACTGCTCATTCCTAGCTTCTAGAACAATGCCTGGCACAAAACAAGTGCTTTTTATTTGTCAAGTTGGTATTCATTTAACACCTATATAGCACTTCATGTGTCAGGCACTGTTCTGAGTGCTTTACCCTTAATTACACGTTTTGTTTTCATAAAAATGCAATGAGTGTTGGTACCATTTTATTGATTAGGAAACTGAGGTACAGACAGGTTAAGAAAGACTTACTTGGCAAGGCCAGGATTCAAATCCAGACAGTCTGGCAGCACAGTCTGGGCTGTTAGTATATTATGCTGTTTCTCAGCATAGGGAAAATGAATAATTCTCTACTGAGGATTTTTTTTTTTCTTTCTTTTCCTATCACCAATGCCTAGTACTACTGAGATATACATCT